ATCTCACAATAGAGAAATGTAAATGTTATAAGATTGTCTTCTTTATCATTTACAAACAGAGAGTTGGCTGAGTGAGCATGGTCCTCTCTTTTTCAAAGCTGATCATAAGATCTGACAGAGGCCAAAAAGACAAGCAGGTGGAAATTAGTTTTGAGAGTTTTGAAAGGAGATAGGTGGATTTTATTACCAATTTTTGTGGTTTCAAAGTTAGGTACTCCAGCTTTGAAGAAGAAGCATTAGGCATTATTGTTGGCCATTAAAAAGTAATTGACACTTACTTTTTTTTATTTCAAGTTTTAGAATTATATGCCAAATGTGACATGTACATTTCTCCTCTGTGAGATAAATAAAGCTTATCTTATCTTATATCTAATCTATAGTATAAAAAATATATCTAGAAAATGCATGGCAGGGTGTCACTCCGCAATTGTCAGCAGTAAACTCAGCCATGCGATTGTAAAGAACACAATTTAACTTGCAAAAATGGCAAAAACCCATTTAGGAGCAACAATTTTGTTTTAAAGGGCAGATAAAAGCTCTGAGTTTGATGTCATAGTGGTACAATGACATCACACTGTTACTGTACTGAGACAGGAGCTTTCAGACAGAAGGGGAAGCGTTACATTTTTTGTGCCAGACGTTCTTAAAACAATCCAAGGTCATTATTTGGTGAGGGAACAATATTGTAACATGGTAAACAAAACAAAAACATTAATGATATGTCTCCTTTAACAGATTCTCTTCCCAAGCACACGAGGGCAATCTGTCAAGCCTAATGAACGGTGTAACGTGAAGCCTATCAAAATAAATGCTCACATTTAAGCAGGATACATGGAGCAAGAAATGTTGCGAGCGCTAAAGAGCCATGGCCACGCGAGGATTGATTCGTTAATATTTTTAGCTAAAGTGGATTAAGCTCGAGGGCGTTAGCATTACATTCAGAATAAATGCAGATTTACTAATAATTGGATCAACTACGTGGACAAAACAGAGAAAAAAGTTCAAATTCAGGAAAGGTTTTATTTGAATGAAAAACAGCAATTATTACTGAATCTAAATTGTAGCTTTTGTGCAACCTTAGCTTGAATGGGACATTTTAACATACATGTGTGGCTGTTATTTTTATATAAAGATCACAAAAGACCAGTGGATATGGGTTTCCTCTTTCAAGTAGGAGTGATGATATGTATAGATTTTTCGATATATCGCGATACTTTTTCCCGCGATCGATTATCGATATGCATTTGCCAAGTATCGATATTGAAATATTATTTTTTATTTATTTTAACAACAATTTTTTTTCTAAATTATTATCAATACTTAATATATGGCTACATTATCATGACGTAAAGTGTATTTTTTAACTTAATATTATTCTATTTTATGTATGCCATGTATTGGCATATGGTATATTGCTGACCAATAAATCGATAATTGTGATATATTCGTTATCGTGAACTTTGTATCGCGTATCGTATCGTGAGGTACCCTTAGGTTCCCACCCCTAATAAGAAGAAGGTCCTTTATTTCACTTCCGTTCTTCTTATGAGCAAAGTGGGTTAAGTGTCTTGCCCAAGTACACAACAACCACAGACATCAGTGGGAGTCGGCGGAGAGGGTCCCATGGTGGGCTCGAACCCACAACCTTCGGGCTCAAAGGCCAATGCTCTGCCAACTGAGCCACTGTCGCCCAGAATATGGCAATATGTATAGCAGCAGAACACATGTTGTTCCATTCCAACCACTTCAAACCTGTATTAATGAATTTAGAAGCATGGCTAATCTCTTGAAACCTGTATTCTTGTTCATGTGACAGTGGACAAACTTAGAGGTTCTTGTCTGTTTGCTGTATTTTTTATTGTGTCCTCAATTTTAGGTTTTTATAACTAACCCATTTGTGGAATTATGGAGGAGTATACACACGTGTGATCACATAAACACAAAAGTTAGAGTATAAAGAGTTGTTGGATAAAAAGGGTTAGGGTTAGCTCAGTTTTCAGTATGTAAAAGATAACATTTTCTAACTAAATATATAACTTAAAAAATAACATTATTTCTAAATATAATGTTTTCTAATTTGATCAAACCAACATGTTGTGGTCTGATTAGGTCACAATATGGGACAAAACAATCATTTAACCCTTTAATGGTTTCCTCAACCATTTGGTGGATCCATTTTTGTGTCACTATATCTACTTGGAGCTTGAACTAAAAAGCTTTGAGTAACCTTGGTCTGTAAAATGCGCTATATAAATAAAGATTACGCACTTTATTACTTACTTGGAACTGAAATCTACCTCATTGGGGCATCTCTATCACATGGTTTTAGGCACTTTTACCATCAAACTGCATCGCAACCATTTTGTAAAGGCCTCTAATTATAAAACCACGGGGTCCAAACAAAATCAAAACATATTATTTGTGTTGCTAGTGCTCCTTCAAGTTAGAAAATCGAAACATATTTATTTTACATTGCTTTTTCAAAGAATGAACATCAAAGGGAACATAAGTACGGCAATAGAGACAAATTACTAAGTCACTGACCATATCTATACAACAACATTTCTTATCTGGGACTCAGAGGGTGGGTGGGGGGGAGGTGGGGGTACACGGTATTATCCCCCACCGAACGCTTGTTAGTGTGGGTTTGTGACAGGCGCTGGAGTGTGTCCTTGCGACGGCCGCAGCTTCAACCTGCGTATCGATCTGCACGAGGCTCCGTGACTGCTCCTCCGCTCCACTGCACTCTGTCACCCTCAAGACACCCAGCCAGCCTCCTGCCCTGCCGCTCCCCTTTACTACCACCCCCACCCCCCACCTGCACCCATTCCCCCCTGCCCTGCCGCCCCAGTCCACCTCACTTTTCCCCTAATGAGTTGCAACACTGATAACGAGCCTGATGATCTCCCATTGATTTGGCTATCACTTGCTTGTCTAGTAATTGATCCGTAGCTGAGCCTCTAGTTAATTATATGGGCTTGGACACGGACCCTTGCCCCGGGGGGAATTCTCCAGTCCGGCACAATAATAGTTTTAATAAAGGAGCTCTAACATCCTCTCACATCAGATTTCATATTTTCAGCCTGCCGTATATAGCTTTGATTGTTCTGTCGTGGATTAGAGTGGCGCGGGCTTACTGTACATGTTTGTTTTGGTTCTGTGACAACATTGTTAGAAAGAACTTCATGGACATATTTGTAATGTAGTCTTTAGTTTGTGCTGGGTGCGATATCTCTGGACATTTCTCAAGCAATGCAAATACATGTATTGGTAAATATTACAGCATCTTCCTGTAATTGAATTCGACTATATTTTTCAACATTTGGTGCTTTGTGTAAAAAAAAAAAAAATACGTGCCAAACATGTGATTACAATAACAGATTAAAAATGTCTTGAATTATGGGGCACATATATAGATCTGAGTTGACCAATCAGGCATCTCTTTTTTTTTTTTTTTTTGGGGTGAAATGGCGAGTGTTTTCTTTATTGTTTTTCTTGGTCTATTGGCAAACTCGCTATGTAGGGGGAAAATATTCTCCGAAAAAAAGAGAACAAATAGTACAATTAAGCGTTCATTTGCATATTGTAAATGGAATTGTAACATCTGACAGAAAAATCACACTCAGATGTCTTTCTTACCAAAATCGTGCGAATAAACTGATTTAGAAACTAGATTTGATTTGTGCTCGTTTTGTTAACAGTGCAATGAGGAATGCATAATTTGGCTAAAGTCTGCATCTCTGTTAAATCCTTCGAGACATGTGATCTGACGATGTAGTCCTGGAAATAACGCAAATACTGTAATTGACCCAAGTTTATTGCACAAGAGACAATTTTCAAATGACTTAGCACCAATATTCTATCTCTACCAGGAAGCGAGGATTCATAATGTGCTTTCTACAGACAAATTGAAGAACATCAGAAACCCTGTTATTGTATTCTAATTAAGTGCATTGGCAAAATAGCCCTAATCAGTACAAGAATAACACAATACAACACAGTGCGAACGGAGCGACAATACAATCCGATGCAGCCCTCTATCCGACAGATGAGAAGTCACACCGTGAGGGGGGAGAGGGAGGGAGGGAGGCGGGGGTGAGAGAGGGAGGAAGGCAGAGGAGCAGAGCGAGTCAGAAGAAGCGCAGCCGCTAAATTGTCACTTAATATAATTAGCCTAAGCCTCGACATTAGCGTTTCAATAAGTTGCGAGGAGCGGAGGTGACACATTACGGCTATTACGACAAGGTTTTTGACAGGCAGCGGCGGGGGGGGAGAAATAAAGAAAAATTGCTTCTTAAATTTGTGAATTTTGCCTTGTTCAAATCTCAAAGGTCATTGACAAACTTGAAAGGCTTTTAGCAAATGGGTGGTGGCAATCTTGGACACGTTTAAGATATGAAATTATTTTAGTTAAAGGGGGCATAGAAGTTGGTCACTTTGTGTTCCTGGTCTTTTGTGCCCAGACAAGGTGATTTGAGGAGCTTTGTTTTGAAAGTGTCCTGCTTCTACTTCTACTCTTTTTCCTCCCTGCTCCTGTGTCTTCTTCCCCCTGTCTTCCTCGCCTTATCCTCCATCCCTCATGTTATTCCCATACCTTTGCTGCAGTGGGGACCAATTTGGCTAAAATGGAACCACTTCCTCATTTTTTTCTTAATTAAAATCGGAGAGCCTCGGCGGGAGGGAAAGAGAAAGGGGAGGGTGGGTTGTTTCCTGCGTGTATGTGTGTAAGTGAGTGTGTTCAGATGCAGTGGCAGACTGCCTGACTTCCATTAGTCTTTCATTAGAGCTGATGTGAATTAAACAAAAGGCAGTTGCTTTTTGTTCAAGTATTTCCAGTCCGTATATTCTTTAGACAAAGGTTTTGACTTTGTCTTTGTACTTTTTCCGCGTCATAGTTCCTGTGGTTGATATTTTTGCGACAAGCTCCGTGTGTGTTTTTGTGTGGAGCGGGATGGTCCCACAGGGAAGCTAAGTTGCTGTGAGACTTGGCACTCGCACACATGGTAATAGGGCAGGGGGACACACGCGCCCCCCTCCTGGTGTCCGCCCCCTCCTCCTCCTCGCCCTCAGCAGAGGAGGAGTGTGTGTCATTGAGCATCTCAGTTGACTCAGTGAGCGCGTGCACACTAGTACGGACACTTGGAGAGCCACCTCTCTCTCTCACTCCGCTCCTGCGTTCAACCACTGGCTCAGAGCAAACCCGAGCTCCACAGCGGCAGCAGCAGCAGCAGCAGCAGCAGCAGCAGCAGCAGCAGAGCGCTCAGAGCGGGACAGGGCAGTGGAGAGAGCAGCCTGAGAGGGACAGCACAGAGCAGGACGAGCAGGAGGCAGGAGCGCGCCGTCTGCAGCTGGGACGCACACACTTCATGGTAAGACAGCAACCGGAGCTCTGCCACTACTGCAACTTTTACACACAGGGATTTCTCCAGGACTTTTTGCTTTATTTGGGCATAGTTTCTAATCATTTATGTTTTGTTTTGACTGCAAAAACTATTGCAAACAATTTATTACATTATTATTATTTAGTCTTAACATTTTCCTTTTATGTAGTTTTGCACATGCTGGTGTTGTGTTTGGAAATTCAAATCTGTTCGTTGATTTTTGTTTGACCTTTTTTTGCTCCACGTACAATACATGTATATATTGTGGTTCAAAAATGTTATAATCTTAGAATTATTTTATATGCTCTGTTGCTAATGCGCAAAAAATGTAACTTTTTCCCCCCACTGTTGCTTCTTTTTCTCCTAGTCTTTATAAGTGCATGTGCGTGTGTGTGAGTATACAAATGACTAACTGACAGACGGATTAAAGCTAAGTGTGGGGCTGATCACACACCCTCTCAGCCCCCAGCTCCATCCCTCCTCACCTCCATCACCCCTGCCGTCCAAGATGAGGCCCCTGAGGACACCCCACCACAACCCTTCTTTTTCTGTTTTCACAAAAATTAATACACGCACGCACACACACACACACACACACACACACACACACACACACACACACACACACACACACAGTGGTCAGCCGCCAGAGCTGCCAAAACCGCCCCTGTCTGCATGTTTGAGATGAGCAGGGTGAGGAAAAGGCAACACAACCCGAAAAGAACCCACCTTCGCTGACTTGCGCCCCTCCGTCTTCCCTCCCTCTCTGTGTGCAGTCCGAGGAGGCAGAGCTGGTGGTGAGAGGCAGAGAGAGCAGTGACACGGTCCCAGAACAGCCCACTGAAGAGCCCCAGTCGCCCAGGCCACGTCCAGCGCCTGAAGACCACCGGCGCACCTGCAGGAGAAGCAGCGTCAGTGCTGGGGGTCCGGGGGTCGTTAGCGTCGGTAGCATCAGGACGAGCAGTGACGGGGCAGGCGAACGCTCCATGCAGTTCAGCACCAGACCGCCTAGTGCTGAGCCCGGCTTCATGGGGACATGGCAGCAGCAGGGCACTGACAGCAACCTCCTGTACAGGATGTCCCAGCAGGTATGTCCCTCACACTGTGTCCTTGTGTTCCCATGTGCTGCTGCTGGTGCTGTGTGAGCCTGTGGACTGACAACAGTGCACTTTGATTCATGTTCAAAACTTCTTTTCCCTTTTTAAATAGTAGTATTTATTTATGTAGTTGTGTTTTCTCTTATCTTACAGTTTTATATTCATTGTTTTAGTTGTTTGTTTTTTTATTTGTATATATTATTGTTTTTGGAGGGCCATTGTAGTTTTCTGGTAATATGAGTGTATGGGTATTATGCATCCATTTCGATCAAACAGCTATTTATCCCTGTGTTTGCATGCTGTAAGCAGATTCGTTTATTGCTCTCGTTGATGGATTATCTCTTGTCCTGCCTTGTTACGTACACGCTAATTTTGCGTAATTGGTCCGTGAACGGGGTGGACTTTTAAAAGCATACAACAGCAGTGTTTTGGTAACCCCAGTGCCGATAAAGAGCGGGCAAGGGGCTCCCCTCTGGGATCGGCTAATTAACTCCATGTGTCCGAGGCAGGAAGCCTCTCACACGGCTGAGATTCAGCGGCAGAGCCGTGGACACACAGGGCTGAAAGGGTCTTATGAAGTCTGCGATATCTGTGATGTCTGTGTCTGTGATGCTGGGCGCGATCTGTGAGCCGTGCGGTTCTCGTGTTCATTCCATACTTACGCGCGGCGCAGCCAGACACTGGACACACTGCTTGTTTCCGGGTTTATCTGGAACCACAACGGGCTGTACGCAGAGCCCTTTCTGCTGTGCCACTGTGTGGACACCTTTGTGGACACCTCTGCAGCTGCTGTCCCATGCACCTCTTACACGTTGGCACACCGTGTAGAAGTCTTTGTTGTCATGTGGAAGTTATGTTCGTGTGTTAGCTTTGTCGGAGAGATCTAGTCACTCGCAAAACAGAGAGCGTGTGAAGGAGAGCATCAGGACCGCTGACAGAGCTGCAGGTGGAGGCCTCCTCTCTGGGACCTTACTCTTTACAAATGCGCTCCGTTGTTTCAGTCTAATCAGCTATGGGACTCGCTGTTATTTATCGCGCTCGTAGCGCTTAGAAGACATCCTCTATGTTTAGTAGGCATGACAGAAATCCTCGGAAGGAGCAGGCGCGATCCCTGACAGACTCTCCTTATTGGAATCTAAGCGATAATGACTTTGTGTTTGCCGAGCTGCGCGCACCCAGGGGTGCAGAGCGGCGTGCGCACATTGGCTTTTGGAGAATCTTTCCTCATGTGCGTGTGTTTAAGAGCGGCCGAGTGACGCCAGGGACGCAGTATTTGAGCGTAGTTAGGCCGAATTATATCTGCAGTGGATCGATGGACAAGAAAATGAGCAGAAGTCACAAGCACGGAGCTGCTCCTGCTGATGAGGACGCGAGACAGACGCGGAGAAAGGAGAAATTAAACATGTTTTATGGGCAAACACACGGAGATGGAATGTTATTAATAATTCACTATTTCTCTCTCAATTGTGGTAGAATTTCTCGATGTCTTATTTAAAAGCAAATACTCATTGTTGCCCATGTAAAATTATTTTAGTTGTTTAATCATACAGCATTACAGTAAAAATGTGTATCATAATTACAATTTGTACTCAATCTTCATTAGGCCTTAATGTCAAATTTGCAGTCAGTGACGCCCCTGCCAGAGTGAGTGCGTAAAAAGCAGGGTAGAGAATAGAGCTGACAAAACAGTGTATGTAGAGTAGTATGTATTTTCTATATTTTAATATTAGGCATGCTGTATACTGCACTATGTGTTCTCCTCGTTCACTCTGATTAAACACACTTCGAAATGTGGTCATAATCAAATGTAGCACCTGGAAAACAGTTTGATTTCCGCAAAGATGAGGCAGAATAAATTCCTCTGTCTGTGTGCACACATTGGACACAAACATTATTCACAAAAAGGCCTTCCTCTGAGCTCAGTTTTATTAAGGTAATTTTCAAAATTACAATATTTAATTTTCATTCTGGATAACCTTTGAAGGTAATCGAACAATTTACATAAAATCAATGGAATTGATAAAAATAATCTTTAAATGTTTCAAACGAATACCGCACGGGCTTTACCTTGCATCCCTGTTTATGTGGTGAAACATGCGAAAAATGAATAATTAGAGAGCGACTTATTTCCAGGAATAATGTTTAGAGTCGTAGGCCTAATTGAGCAGCACCATTACGCGTGTGCTTGTGGGTATCGACTCGTGCAGCGAGTTCAAAAGCCGCAGTTAAGTGAGACCGCGGGAAGTGCTTCTGTTCATGGCACACGGACCTGCAGGCCGCATCACTGCTGCAGCATCACTGCTGCAGCCTCCTGCGCGTCTCACAGAGCGCCTCACAGAGCGGCCGCATGTGGAAGGGATGCTCCGTGTCCCGGCCCCTCTGTTCCCTCTGTCCCCTTTGAGTTTGTGCTCGGAGGAGCACCAGGCTCCGCTCTCAGGGCAGGCAGCTTCAGTTTGGTGCGTGTGTCTGTGGCTTTCCTCTCGCTAAAGCCTCTCCTTCTCTCCCTACAAGGCTGCTGTAGCGCGTCTGCCTTTGAAGTGCGACACTTCCACTCAGGCCCGCGACATGGACGAGGTACGGTGACTCCATGGCCCATTATGTCTACAAAATCTGGACCAGAGAAGAAATATAATCATAATCCTTAACACTATTTCTACTACTGATAATATGGACTATTGTATAATGTATTAAATCAAGTCAAATACTTATATATTGGATTTACAGTTAAGGCCTATGGCATCTATATAAGTGATGATTAAAATATTAATTTTCTTTTTTTTTTTTTTTAAACAACATGACCACAATTTACTATTTAGGCTACATTTCTATAAAATCAAATTATAAAAAAAAAAAAACTAAAAACATTTGTTTCAGGTTTTGAAGGACTATAAATTTGCCTCAGCATTTTAAAAACACACACTACTTAACTTGTCCCATATCTTGTAATATGTATTATTTTTTCATCTTTTACAAAGCTATTTGTGGTTGTGTTGAGTATCGTTCATTGCTGTTTAAATATCTGCTCCTGACACATATTGGCTAAACATCACTTTTGTTTTGTCTCTTTCGATTCGAGGGTTTCAGGTTTATGCTGGAGTGTATAATATACAGTCCAGCTTCAAACATTTTGGACTCTTCCATATTCTTTTAAATAGTTTATTACTTTGTCAACAGCCCTAATTTCCCATCACGCTGAAACCCACAAAAACAAGCAGTTCTCACATCTTATATCTCCCATTAACACACCACTACTCCCACCTATTCAACTTCCAGAGAAAAACTGATCCATTCCATGGCATTTTGCATATGTAGCACACATGCTCGTCTCCTCTGCTTATTGTGTGCGACCATAGGACCCGGTGATTTGACACACATGTGCAACATTATCCACAGTGAGCAAAACGTGTGTGTGCTCGTTACACTCCACTTTCACTGTTTCCACGTTGCGCTCAATGCCATGGGTCACTGCACACATGCACTAAACCGAGCATGTAGATCTCTCGCATAGATCTGGTGTCCAAGGTATAATGTTTATCTGTACCCGTGCCATTTATTTTCTTGCATGCGTGGGTGGCTGGACCGACGTCTGCCAGTTTTGTGTGCGCGCTCCTGTCCTGTGTGTGTGTGTGTGTGTGTGTGTGTGTGTGTGTCAATTGTGCATATATGCGTGTGCCTGTCTTTGCCTGCATGTGCGCTTGCGTGTTGGCTCATACTCCATGTGTGCGCGGGTGCGAGTTGAAGTGTCTCTTGGCTGGCCTTGGCTGGAGCGCTGGCGGAGAGGTGAAAGAGGAGATTTGCACAAAAGACATGCACCGCTTCCCCCATTACTACTTTTTTTTTGCTTTTTTTTTTCTGAATGTACCACTAGTTCTTCCTCTAACTCTTTTATAGTTCCCCCTATTTTGAATGACCTGTATTAACGTTGGATAGCGAGCATGAAATGGAATCTCTCCTGCTAACTTCACCTGTTTGGAGAGAGGACCAGGGTGTAGTCTTTCGACCGCATCCGCCTGCAATATTTTGACTATAAAATGACGGTATACTTTCATATCTATTATAATGATTCCGGCACAATCGCTTGCTGTTTTTTCTTTCCGAAGGGCAGCGAAACACAACTGCACATGCTTTCTCTCAACGATATGTCATGATAACATTGTATGCATTGGCTGAAGGCAAAACTTAATGTGAGTGGGATGGCAACTCTGTATGTGTACCGTAAATGTCTGCTGTTGAAGGTGCATTTTGAAAGTACAACACGCAAGATTAAGATTAAGTAATTTATAACATTAATGGTTTGGATAACGTTTTATACATTGAATTGAGTGAGAAATGGCCCTACCTTGTTGTTTTTTATATATAGTCAGTGTGAATGGAAATTTCTTGATCGATGCTAACACACCTACACACAAATAGATATTGTGTTTTACTGCGTAGTAGTTTGGTGTATGCCGCAACCCAAAAGTGCACATATCAACATTGATCTGTTGTGACGTCGGTGCAGCTGTGATTACAGAGTTGTAAAAAAAAAACTGCAGTCGGCAATATATCCTCTGTGCATGCAGAGATTAGGGATGTTGAGAAAAACTGAATAAACAAGATTATTGACCAAAGAAAAATAAAAACGTCTAGTTCTTTAATGTCCCTTGTCAATGTTGCAATAAGTGCTTCAAGAGGGTTTAATTATGTTGATTTGAGTGAAAACTTTGAGTATGGAACAATCCATAATAGAATAGAATAGAAATACTTTATTATTTCCAAGGAAATTCAGTCACTCCACTGCTAAAAACAGTCATCAGGCTATTCATCAACATACAATAAAATAGATGATAAAAATAAATAAAAAGATAAAAAATAAAATAATACAATCAAAGATAATATGCACTTAATTATTTAAATACACTTAAAAATGAATGTAATTTCACTGTAAGGAAAATCAAATGTTATGCTATACCTAGGGTGTTATTCACAAATAGCACACCAAAAATTAACTTGGAGTGCTGTAGATAAATGGATAATTGGGGTTTTACTGAAAAAATAGCTATGTCTCACCTAAAAACATCCCTAACAGAGAGATCGAAACATTTTGCCTTTTTTAGTTTCTCCTACATTTAAAATATTTAGTATTTACAAGGCATGGTATTTGATTTTGACAAGTGTATCATATGTTGTCGTGTCCTAGTATTCGATTATGTCAAACCGGGGCTCTTAATCTCGACTTTTTGCTTGGTCCCCTTTTTGTCCTCAGCCTCAATTAAAATAGAAATTTGCTTCTTCTGTCGGCGGCGGTTGCACTCATGGTTATACGGTCATGCGTGTGCCCTCTTGCAAGTATACAGAGCGACCACTAGGAGCGGCCGCACTCTTGTAGCGTGGGTAAAAAGCTCCGGCCACGGTTTAGTGTGCGTGGCCCCGGGGCTAATACGTCATCAATACGCATCATGTGAGCATCACTCAGCCGGCTCCGTGTCAGCTGCTTCCTGCCTGTCCTGAGGAGATGGCCCGCACCGCTCACACCCCCATTGTGTAGTGTATGTGGCGGTGATGAGTATGATAGCACATAAGGAGGCCAAAAGCTAGCCGTCTGTATCTGCGAGAGAAGAAGACTGAATACATCTGCCATTATTAAGGTTTTTGTTTTTTTCTAGACAAACTTTGCGATTCGATGTGCGCTTTGACAGAAGGAGAATTCCTCACCGGTGAAACTGGGGAAATTCGAATATTGCAGAAAAGTCCATTAACTTCAGTGTTTCGAAGTACTATGTGAAACTAGAGCTGCTTTTAGTTAAGTTAAGTTAAGTTAGTTAAGTTAGAGATTACATGTTGCTGCTCATTTATCTAGTGTGGTGTGCTCCTCATGAAGGTGATGCAACACTGAAACTTCCCCACTGTGAGACGAATAAAGAATCTTCAACTAACATATGACAAACTCATTACACACAAAGTGAAATATTATCCAGAGTTTATTGGTTATGTGGGTTGTAAGCCATTATGAAAAAGGTTCGGCATTTGTCACTCTGCATGTAATGAGTTTATATCATATATTCGTTTCACATTCAACCCAATTTATTTTTGTTTAACCTTAAATCACAACAGCAGTCATCTCAGAGGAGTTTACAACGTTGTGGATTCACCGACAACTGATCAGAGAATCAAACCGTTTGAACACAAGAAACACAATAATAACAAAGTAGTCTCAAGGAGCCATTGGTCCAGAGGGAGTGGAATGACCAATGTCCATAAAAGTTTTCCAGATTATTATTGTCCTTAAACCTTCCTGTAATCCGACAAGGAATGATTTTTTACTTTATAGCTGCGTTCTAATTTTCAGAGTGTTACCTGTATATTTGAGGGAAAGTTGATAATCAAGGGACACCATATACAAAATAAAAGGCGACGATAAAGAGCCTGAATTTAGCAGTATTTATGTCAATCTGACAGTCATTTCCCCGGTAAATAAAAAAGGAATTCAGAACATACTATTTTGCTCTTAAACGCCCCCCAAACAAACCACTGGCAGCGGAACGGACACCCTTCGTAATCTCAATCAACAACATAAACATGAAATATGAGCCTGCCGCGTGCCGCTCATGCATCACAAAAAGCCAACTAAGAAATGTGTTTTTACAGCGCCACAAACAAACATGTGATTTCACCGCCACCACCCCCACCGTCACTGTGGCTTGAGAAATATACTCTCTGCAAGACACTATTAAAATGGTCATGAAGAGAACAACATGAACATTCCTACAAAATTAAAGGAGACATAGTGCTCTTGGAACAATTACATAGTGAATCTTGCACATCTCAAAACTGGCTTGTTAAGTTTTCTATGTTGGCACTTTGTTGTAATGGAATTCATGATTGCTTGTCTAGGAAAATGGTTTTCAAAGTTTTGGGCATTTTTTACAATTGATACACTATATTTTCTCACCATATCTTTGCGCAAACATTATTGTAGGTGATATTTGGGAAGTAGCAAGAGGTGCTACTTTGAAGAAACTCCATGCTTGGCCGTGTTGTTGCAGAGCGTTATGAGGAAGTGACGTGTACGTGTGAGATCTGATAAACTTTAGATTATATTATATTATATTTAAAAAAATGGATCAGCTGCACGACGCAGCTCTTTACACAGATATCCGACCCAGTATTTTTTCTGGTATTGACGCCGATATTAATACCAGTATTGGATCGGTGCATCCCTAGTGTCTCTACAGGGTTCTGTCATATATAGCTGTTCACTTGTTGCATAATTTTCCATACATTTCACCCGAAAGTGCTTAAAACACTTGCTGGATTCAATCAATTATCAGCGGGGGTCGCGAGGCGGATTCATATCTATTTTTGGAGACTCATTTTGAAAGGTTTGGTAACAACTAATCGAATATACAAAATGAAACAAAACAAGTCAATTCAAATCAATAACATTCAAGTGAAATGACAACAATCCACAGGTGTCATGGACTTCAAAAAATATGCAAAATGCGAATGTTTCTGCACGACCGCGTTTCATTTCACAATTCATTGACTCAAACATAAACAGCATTTACAGTCGGCCACGGTGTGAAGAGGAAGTGTGCGTTTCTACAGGGCCACCCGCTCAGGATGTCGCCGCCCTGCCACTTGCTAATGACGCGGGGATATGGCAGGAATGCTCACAGCTGTCACCAGTTCTGCGAGTGTATTTCATAGTGTGCGTGTCTTGGCATGGCGCTACACCGCTTCCAGGGGTCAGGGAGGTGTTGAGATGTCCAGCTTTGAGTTCACTGACCCGCAGATTGCCAACGACGAAGTGGAGCGGTCTGTCGTAAAACGTATATACTGTATATATTCAAAGGGCCGTGAGTTGTGAGTGACGCACAATCTACAGAAAGGAACAGTAGAGGTTGCACACACAACAGAACTTAGGCTGGACTGCAAAAAATATGACTAATTAAACACACAAAAATAGAGTGGAAACACAATAGACCAACAACAAGAGGAGAGGAGCGGTGGGTATGAACACAAATAGGTGAAACAATGGGGGGCCAGGGAATTAGAAGAACAGACAGAAAGTCAAAAAGAAAAAAAAAATATAGAACCTGTACATCAGAATCAAAACAGGTAAAACTAATCAACAATCCACACCAAGACAGAGATGCCAAAAGTTTAAAAATGCACTTTAGTGGACGTTCTACAGTATCATCATTATTAGTAGATCTAATGTTATGCCATCAGTGGATTTGCTGGTGGTTTGCCGTCAAATTCACATCTAATCAATTTTTCTTGAGGAGAATAGTAAGACCAGTCCCACAGGGTTGAGCATGGCTGGGTTCTTCTTCACAAATTGGAAAGAAGCAAACAGTCCCTTAAGCATTATCAGAATTCTCGGACACTTTCTATACAGCAACCTGACCTCCCACAAACGCTTCCCGCAAAACGTTTCTTTTATTCATTTCTGCTATTGATTGTAGTAGTTTTCTATCTCCAGAATAGTTTCAGGGCTACACATTTCTGAAAAACCTCCAACGCTGGAAGGGTTAACTATCAGTCATAACTCAAAATGGGCATCTATCAATCTCCGTCTGTATTTTCGTGCAGTATGTCCAGTGCTTTTCGTTCTTCACCACTAGTCACAGATTTGCACGCCTTACCTGAACCATTAAAACCTAATTGACTTCACTTATCTTATTTTTACCCGTTTCTATCCAGCACCCAATACTATTTAAGAGCACAAGTCGTTAAGAGGAAACCTTTTATTTTGATGATATCTTGAGTCCACATGGCCGAGACATTGTTGCGGTCTTCCCGTCTGAAAAGGAAGGTGACATTAGGTGTGACCTGTGCTAAGTGACAGGAACTAGGGCCATACTTTCACCGCCGCTTCTCCCTTTTCCTGTTATTCCTCCACTCCTGTTATTTTGTTTGCTCTGGAGTCATGCCAACGCAACGGGCAAATCAACAGCTTACTATTTTTACATCCGACTTTAAGAACCCACCACCCATTGCCGCCTCTCTCTCTCGCTCTTTCTGTTTGTCATCAGCAGAAGAAATTGATGGCGTATAACTTTCCAACGCCTTTTACTCTTCCAAACATATGTACATTTTTCACATTTGTGCAAAATTTGAACATTATGTTTTTCAATATCCCTGTGCGCACGTGGGCTGTCACCGTTTCCAGAACAGAAAAAAAGCACACTCTTAGTAGATTGCTGTTATTATTGTTGAAGTCATCATCATTTGGGCTTATTTTAGTTATGGATAATGGTGGTAATTTTGCTAACAATTGACTCTTTTCCTCTCTCACTAGAGCTACGCACAGTACAATATGTTTGCACCGGACTTGCTGTTAGAAGAGAACACTTTCTCAACAGGTAGCATAGAGTTCACTAATGGAAATAAGCAATGATGGGGGTTTTTTTTGTCTTCCTGCATCTAACTTGGTTCAATTTTTTGTGCAAGAGGCCCAACCCAGGGAGGTTTTTTTTGGGGAGTTTTTGGAGAAGGGAGTCTAGTGGTACAGGCTGTGGTGGGCATCTGGCCAAAACACACTTACACACACGCAGACACACACACACACACGCAGACGCACACACACACAGACACATACACACACACACACACACACACAAACACAAATCAAACTCCTTCCACTGGAGATACCCACTTGCCCGTTGCCTAATGCAGGCTGCACAAATTACTTCCGAACAATAGCGCAGTTTTTAACCCTTCTAAACTCACGAGCTCATTAGCTACTTTGTGTTGGGAACGCAACATGTGTAAGCATTTGTTTGCGCGCTCTGCTGACAGGGTAAAGATGGTGGATTAATAATGTTTAATGGCCACTGTTAAAGTGCAGCTGCCTTGGCATCCCACTGCTCGTGTTTTCCTGGCTCGCTCACGGGTGGCTCTGCGAATTTGTGTGGGCTGCTCGGAGAGTGTGAGTTGTCATTGAACAGAAATGCCTTCAAAAGTGGCAGAAAGTAATTTGGAGGATTTTTTTGGAGAGGCAACATGAGACAAGTATTGGGAGAGATGTTTGGGTCTGTGTCTTGTCTGAGTAAGTAAGTAAGTAAGTTATTATTTATATACCGCCTTTTCACTGCAGATCTGAGTCTCAAAGCGGTTTACAATTGTTAATTATGGGCATTTGTCTCTCACTCCACACAGAGATGGGAGCAGGGTCGCCAGTACAGGAAGCGCATGCCAGAACTATTGGACATATTTTTAGTGGTAGGGGAAACCGGAGTACCCGGAGGAAACCTACGCAGACACGGGGAGAACATGCAAACTCCACTCAGAAAGGCCCTGGTCCGGCCGGGATTCGAACCCAGGACCTTCTTGCTGAGAGGCGAGAGTGCTATCCACTCAGCCACCGGCCGAGTGTGTGTGTGTGTGTTGTCTTTCTTATACCACGAGATATTATATTGTTACTGTTCTGAAATAACACATTTTAATTAAAGGTGCTCTTCAGAGAACTCATGATTACTGTACAAAAAAAATCAGCAAAACACAATTGAAGCTGGATGAGTTTGGAATGCGGAGGTCAGGTGGTAAACAGTTCCGCAGGTCCACTGTATTGCTTTTATTTTGTTAATTTTTATGTTTTTGCTCAAAATTGTCTTGTCTGTGTGTATTACCCTAATTTGTGCTGTAAAATTATGTTTTGAAATGTTCTTGACTGATTGAAAAAAAAAGTGCACAATTGACTAGCTTTTTGCCATATGCACGCTCCATGAAGTTTTTTCAGAGCGATTCATGATTGAAGTGCTATATATAGTATTTCTTACCCCAAGACTATGGCTACATCTGAATTCAGCAAAAAACACCTCCTTCCTTATCCTTCCTCATCCTTTTGTGTTCTCTAAAATATACCTTTTTTGACATTGGCAGTTCCAGGTTTGGTCAAGTGCAATTTAACACCTTTTTGCTACTAAGGTCCAGTAAATAAGGATTTGGTAATGAATACAGATGCAGCCTATTTCTCCTGAATGTCTCCTCTGCCCACAGCCACAGTCTTTTCTGAATTTGTAATAAGCGTTAATTTTGCAATCTGGCAAGACTTAATACTAAATTGTGCACTTTCTTTCATAACACTGTATTAACTCAACATTGAGATTTCATTCAAGGCAATTTCACCGGTGATTCTAATTGACGTACTTCTGCATACAGTTGTCAACCATTATATGACATCAGAAAATATCATAGCTGTGTCTCTAATTGAAAAACTGAAATCAAACTTCCAAAAATGTAAAATCTGTAATATTTTGGCTTAATCTCACTATCTATTTGTAACCTTGAAGCCTTCCTCTCCTCCTTTTCATGTGTCTTTCTCCAGCATTGAAAATCTGTATTCTCTGATCCCATATTGAGCCACTTCACTTTCAAACAATCCATAATGTCAGTTAAGTCACAAATGATCTAATTAGCCCTCTGTGAACGACATCAATGGATCTGACCCTGTATCCGTGGTAACCAGACAGAAATTGGTCCACCCATCCTTTCCTTAACCAACCCTAACCAAGCGTGACCCTCACGCGCCGTGACTTTTTCCATTGAGTCCTTAACCACGGAACAAAGTGAGAAGTCCTGTAGACGTGTTGTCGCGTTGGAAGCGTGGTAAAAGGTGGAAAATGCATCTAAAGTTGTTGTTGATGTTTTTGCCCCACCTCTCTCATTGTCGGGAAGCGCACTCCGCGATAAGTGCTGTGTTGGAGCTCGCGACTTTGGTTGGCATTAAATATTTCATAGCCGCTTAATCCATTTGATATGTTTCCTCTTCCAAACGCGTGGCTTTTGTCTGCCTTTTCCGGAGACATTACTTCACAGCTTGTTGATCAGTTTAGCTTTGTAAAGAGCGGCAACTTGGGATTCATTCTCTGAATTTACGACTGTTTTTTCCCCCCCTTCATGCACATAAATGTATCACTTTGTTGCTGGTTAAAAAGGGGGCTCGCAGAGGTTAAAGGTGATCCTCCATGATCAATGGCCGCCTGCATGTAACGCTGTCACATAAAATATAATGCAAGATTTACTGCGGAAACGGCACGAAAATAAAGGCTCTTCATCTTGCGCTGGAAGATGTCGCGAATGAAAATGATTATGACAAACGGCAGAGCTGCAAAAGCCTGCGCATCATTCAAAAGACAGGTTCAGCCAGATCAATTGGTAATAGGCTGGAGTCGCAGCCGGGGCGATTAGAGGCGTCAACGTGGCCGTGTTGTAAATGCTGTCAGATCTGTTAAAGGAAGCCTAATACCTCTCAGGTTGAAAGCTGTAATAACATCAAGTGTAACTGGATCCACGGGGAAAGTGCAAGTGAGAAGATACAGGGGAGAGAAAAAGAAAAGTGCAGATAACACCTAGCCCTGATGTGTTTGTGTATAAACTAGCAAGCATAAGAGGCCAGAGCCGCGGGGTTGCTCCTGGCATTTTTTCGGTCACCAGCTGCCTGTCACACGAAGAAAAAAAGAGATTGTGAGGAGAGGACAAAGGGAAAGGGAGGGAGGGCCTGCGGAAATCATGTCACGTAGCGCTAATTCATCCAACCTCATTAGAGAGAGGGAAGGGACCGGCGGACCCTCTCTTAGGAGCAAAGGGCCCCGACTTCCACACTTCCTCACGCGCATACACACACACACATTACACACGCACACACTCATTGTCGGTTTCCACATACTTGCGCTCACTCCTCACAAACACAGATGACACGGGCACATGGCGAAGCGTGGGGGCAGTTTGGGGAATAGAAAATTGCCTTCTCAGGAATGGGCCTGGGCCAATTAAGGACCTGACCGGATTGAATGTCAAGTGTTAATTTAGACCCCCCCCCCCCATACCCCACACTTACCCTCACCGCCACCATCTCAGCGGCGGGGCGAGTGTGGTTCAGATGAGCGACTGCACGTCAAGCCCAGACTACGCGTCGCATGCAGGCAAGTGGCAAATGCGCATCCTGCTTTTTGGCCGTTAGCGATGAACCCTGAGGGACCTGGGGGGGGGGGGGGGGGGGGTTGTTAGGGAATGGAGAGGATTAAGTGTACCGCTGTGATAAGAGCGGGGGGGGTTCACGCTTGGGAGGAGGAGGGACAAGGAGGAGGGTGGAAGGGGACAGGGAAAGAGAGCTTGTTTGATCTCGCAGGACTGGGTGGAGGTCTTTGATAGTCTTTTAATTGCCATGCGTTTTTTGATGAGGTGCGTGTGGGGAAGCTGAGTAGGCACTTTGGTCCAAGGCGGGCCACGTATTTCAATGTCATTTGTCGAGAGGAAGATGTTTATTTTTTGTGGCGATGGGAATATGTTTGGCTGAAGTGTTGTGTTACGATGCAAGGGGTTGATGGATTGCAGTTGCGCGCGCTGTTGCAAGCTATAGGAAATGAGAGGGTAGCATGAATTGGAGCAAGGTTACCAACTTAAATGGTTTTAAAATCACAACCCCTTGATTAGAACTTAGAACTGCATCTGCGATCAAAGTTGTTGGATCACACACATGTCTTCTAGGGCTGCTCCATGTCAGTGTGGGCCAGGCCATAAATTCAACTGTTTCCCTCCTCTCTAAATCTCAATTTTAGGCAGCCTGATGATAGTGGAAAAAGTTCAGTCACTAAGTCTTGTCCTGTCTTGCACGCTAGAATGATCTCATGATTTGTGAACACAGCACTGGCACAGGGTAGGACGGCGTTGGACTGATGGTAAATGCCCACCTCCTTTACCTCTGATCTAATATACATCCACTTAGTCTTAATGGGCAGATTCCCTTTCTCCTCTTCTGATGACGGTTGCACTCTTTTAAAGGTAGAATTGCCAGCTTGTCTTTCCTACGGACACACCCCTGCTTCAGCCTGTGTAACTCATCTCTACTGCCCCAGCGATCATGTCTTCCTGGATAAATATTAATGGCGGGTCTTCACTCCGGCCCTCTGGCTACACGTGTTTGCGAGAGGTGCTTTGTTTTTACGCTTGTATCTGTGTATTCCTGGGCTTGTCCGGTGAGCATGTATATAGAGTGGAGGGAGAGCGGTGATGTGGTGAAATGCAATGGAGAGGGTAAGTATTGATCATGTCCCCGTGTGGGTTATTAGTTCTGCAGCTGCTGACAGGCGGAGCCGGAGTCACCTGGAACACAAGCTGACACCAACATGGATGAATTGTTTACAAATGGGAGATTGTGCATAGACTACCACATCATGTTGGCAAGTTGAAGGTTATACAGTGTATACTAGGCTATTAAAATATTAAATAATAGCAGAAATAACTCTATTAGAATAACTATCTGGGGCCCGGACTTCCCTGAAAGAGTGATTCTGATATCTCAGCAGGACTATCCTGACCCCAGCTCTATTTTAATTGTCTATCATTCGCGATTAATCAATTAACTTGTCACAGCTCTTTTTATCAACTCAACATAATATATGTTTGGCTTATTGGGCTTCACTCATACAGTAGATATAGACATATAACTGTGCAACAAATATTTTGTCTTCACCAAAGCAATAGAGCTCCAACGTAAGAGAATGCTGTCGTAGCTGCAGTAAAATAAACTCACTATTATTACAGTATGAGAAAGAATAGCTTAATCCTTATTGTTCCACCGCTTCCTTTCACACATATGTCACTTAGCCTAACATTTAACGCCCTTTTTTATATATGCTCAATTTATGTCCCACACTCCACATTTATGTTCCACATTATTACAATCTCCCGTGTCAATCTCCCCGAGTGATAACGCGCTAGGAGTTCACGAGGGTCGCCACCGAGCGTAATTCAATCTCTGATCACTGATTTCCTAACAGCAATTTGTCCAGGTCTCCAGGGCAGGTTGGGGAGGTGGGAGGGGAGAGGGAAGGGTGTCCAGTCCTGGCGTAAGTGCTCCTTCTCTGGGTATAGATAGCCATGTCTGCAGGGCTCTCCAGAGCGCGCAGTGGTCAGGCGGCACTACTGTAGAAGTGTGTCAGCCCATAATTGATTACCTGACCTGCGCAAGTGAGGACAGAGAGAAAGAGAGAGGGGAGGGGTGTGAATAGATAGGAGAGATAAAAGCAGAAAAAAAGAAGAAATTGCGCGACCGGTGGCTTAATCTCTCCGGACTGGCCGTTTTTCGCCTGCGGATGATAGATACAGCGAGGCCAGCGCGTGACACAGATTGATAATGCGAGCGTCTGGGGTGATAGAGTTATAAATTAACACATTACAGGGTCTTAATGCGCACGAGACCCCACGCCAAGCCTATGGGCGCTCTCACTGGCCCCTTCGCACAGGGGATACGCACGCCCACGGTCTCACTGGTGCGGCTGGCTGAGTCCTGGGTGCGATTGGAGTCCTCAAGTTGCATTGATTTGTGAGAAGTGCTGAATTAGCGCAAACAGTGCAGCAGCTGGCTCTCCACTACTTTGTTTCATCATTGCTTTGTTCTCGTTGCAGAGTCCAAGCCTTTACTTTTCAAGAGATGTTAAAGTGCATTGGATGACAGTATAGAAATATAAAGGAATGGTCAAGAAAGAGAAATGCGTCATGGACAAATAGGAGAACAATATACTGATGATGATACTCATTAAAACACACTAACTATAAGTGAAATTGAAAGTTGCGTTTGAAAACATCTGCTTTAGTTGTTGTCAGCCATCTAACTATTCCCTTGCTCCTTATCAACCATAAAGTCTTCTCGGGTCAAACCACATTTATAAATCGTGCATACTGAATACAACCCCACATAGGTAACATGACCATTTGAAATAAAACAAAAAAGCTCCTCTTCTCACAGTGATCTCAACTCTGCTTTCTCGTCTCATATCCTCACAAAATACTATTTAGGTACTTTTCCCCCCATGGTTGTCTTGGCAAACGCCTCATTATATTTCCCCACTTGTCCGTCTCCAGCTGGAAGGTCTCACCTAAAAAAGCAGTTGTGTTTTCTCTCCTCGTCACTGTAGCCCACAGTACTGGATAGCCAACAGTGTAATGTCGCCGCGTCTGGGTCTGTAAGGGAAGTGGTGTGAGTATGTGTGTGTGTGCGTGGGTGTGTGTGTGTGTGCGTGCGTGTGTGCGTGCGTGAGTAGCTGGGGATTGTTTTTTAATAGGCAGACATTCACAAGAGTTAATATCCAGACTAGCGGTAGCCTGCACAATGTAAGGCCACACACAGTGACATGGTCTTAAACACTATTTAAAACTCACCAGCTCTAGCAGCGGGTAGCTATAGCTAAGTAGAATAATATAATTTTAGGTAGTGTATACTCCTATGCATATACAAGGAGTTATCCCTGACATATAAGACCAATGGTGACAACAATAGTCCAGTCCAGATTTGGCGAGGATATAATGAGCTAAAACCAGCATTCTAATATATAATCACAGGGCCGGTCCTATCCAATAAGCAGATAAAGCAGCTGCATTTGGCCCTAAGGTCACAAGAGGGCCCCCTATATTTTTAATTTGATGCGAAAATAAGGTAAAATCGAACTTTCACATGCTGCAGTTGGTTTCCCTGGTCATATTTGCAAACTTTGATAGACATGTTGGGTGGTGTGGGCCCTTAAAACATATTGCTTATCTAGAAACAGAAGTAACAGAATTTTCCCAAGAATGCATAATTTCAAATACTACTGCCCTAACATAGTCTGGGCTCTTCATTAAAATGACTAAATCCGCATCTGATTACTCCGGAAAGGTGTTCTCTACACAGTGTGAGGAGAAGGAAACATCCCGCAGTGAAAAGTAAGCGTAAAAAAGTGTAATGGCTTCCACAGCTACAGGCCTGCGTCTAACCACAGCGAATTCCACTGGTGCGAGCGTCTCTTAAAGAACAAATGCGAGAGCGTGTAGCCCCTTGTTGTGCTTGGGCTTACGACCCGGACAGACTGTCTGCTGTGAGAGCCCGAGCCACGGCGCGCGGCCAAGAGGTCCACTTTTGTTAGTGTCTGCTCCATTATCACCATCGCTGTGTGTTTGTGCAAAGGGGAAGGGAGGGATAAGTCAGCCAGAAAGTGTCCCCACATCTTCTCTTCCTCCTCCAGGCCAAACACCAACCATCTGGTGGCCAACGCTTGACCCGTCTCTTGGGTTTAGTGGATCCAAGTGATGAGTGAGCGCGTGCTGACCGGTATACCCACATACCCTTATCCCACATCCCCTTCCCGTAGTTCCCCCAAGTCAGGGCGTGCATCTCCCACGTCCATACCCCGTCCGCACACCATTGGTCGATGAAAGGTTGATCGCTGTCTGATCCGTCCACAGCTCCAATAAAACGCTCAATAAAGTTGGGATTCTTGACCTGAAGGGCCCTGCTAGAAAAAAAGAATAAAAAACGTCTTTGGAGGCGAAGGCGCTCAGTACATAGACACAAGTGTACCCTGGTTTGCAAAGATTTTCACAGGTCTAATGAGGAGAACTGTTTTTGGATTTCTGCCCACATTTTTTTGTCAGTTCTATTTTAAAGCTGGGCTATCTAATTTTCAAACCACAAACAATGGAAGCATGTCATATAATCCATCTAACTAGGACTGTCACTAGTTTTCACATGCATTTATTTTTTGGCCAGTGTTACAGCTTTAAATAAGCTTTTATAAGACGAAAAATGAAAAAAAAGAGGACTGCCCTTACTAAGCTGATTGTCTCTCAGCTCAAAATGACAAATAGTGACTCCCAGGGCTCGTTCTTACAAGTTTGCAAAAGATGCAATTATTTTGAATAAGTTGATTGTGACGCGGGAGATCATGTTTGGACTGATGTGTTCACAAAATGCTACTGAAACTAGTTCTGAGCATATGATACGTAGATATGTTTTGATACCTACAAATGCATGTGCCTATTCTCTATAGCAGGGGAATGAGTGAAGTACTGAACAAAGCATAAAGCTTCCACCACAAGAGAATGTTTGTGTTCCAACAACTACGTGTGGTAAAGATCACTCATTCATGCAAACCACAACCATTTTGAAGATTAAAATGTGGCTGCATCTGCGGTGACTTTACCGTC